AATTAAGGAAATACTTGGGGGAAGAAGTGCTCTAGTTATTTTCATGTTTGGTTAACTGAGCACAACCAGAGTGTATAGTAGGAGGAGACAGAATTATGCAAAAGAAAAATTGCAGATAAATATTTCTTGATTTAAAGTCTTTTTCAGTTAAATTGTGTGATATTGAGCCTCAACTTTCTCATCGGTACAAGGCAATAATGACTATCTTACTGGGCTGTTCCTAAGTGAGGCAAGATTTGTAAATCAGCAAAATATTTGGTGGCTCTATAGGAACTTGGTGGAATAGATTTCTCTTGTTTTTATTCTTCCAAAAAATAATTCATCATACATTTGCATATGGTACTTTAAAAGTGTATATTAATGTAGGATATTGAAGAAAGATTGGGTGGTATTAGTGGAAGGTAGCTTACTAATGTAGAATATTTATGGCAAATATTCTCAAATCAGTCATTGAGTATGTATTGAGTGTTATATTTCAGACTCTGTGAGGATAGCAGAAAGAAAGAAAGAGTCTCTTTAATCTTTTAAAATGCCTGCATATTCTTCTTTACCTCTTCTAAAAATTGAATGTGGAGAGAAAATGTAGTAGGACATTCAGCATGACCAGTTAAAAGTGGAAGAAAAGCACATGAGAATAAAATACAGTTTGAAACCTCACTAAATGCAGTAAAGAAATGAAAGAGTGAGGCGCACAAAGGGAATAATGGCCATCACCACCAAGGGAAGGACAAACCATCTGGCAAGCAGATCAGAAAGGGAAGAATCCTGACCTTTTCAGGGAGAAGGCCCTTGTGTGGAGCTAGCTGTCATAGAGGAGCTCCTTATAATGCAGAAGCAAAAGTAACAAGTTGACTGATGGTTTGTAAATGGAATAGTGTATTCCCTATTCCTACCACTGCAAGGTGGAACACTTAGGCGGAATAACCAGACAAGTGGACAGACAACTAAGTAAAGATTCCTCTCTGCTGAGAAGGAATTGCCCCAGAGAAAAGACCTCTGCCCGTCTGAGATTTAGAGTGTCTTCATATAATAATGAGTTTTCCCCCTGATAAAGTTGTCAGGTGACAAGCCAAATTTTCACATTTTTCAATTAGCTTTTGTCATTAACTCTAAAAGATCATTTAAGGATCATTCTAAGAAAATGTATCAATAAAAACAAGAACAGGATGCTGTGAAAAATAAGCAATCAGAGAGGAAAATCACTCCAGCATTACACTATGGTTGCTGAAATGAAAATTCAAAAAGACGGAAGATAAAGCTAAAGAAACTGATTCAAAATTAGAGAGAAAAGAAAAATATTAGAAAAAGATCAGAACCACACTGAATCAACCCAGAGGCCTAAATCCAATCAGTATGAGCCCTTGAAAGGAAAAAATGAAATAAAAATATAAAACCAAAAAATTAAAAGGGTGTTGATATCCAACTTACCAATCAACTGCAACAATATATTTAAAAAAGAAAGATAATTCTAAACATGTGGAGAATATTCCAAAACCTGAAAGAGATAAATCGCAGCAAAAAGATGGCCTATAAAAATCAGAATGGAGTTTATGTCAGACCTCTCCTCAACACTGGACACTAGAAAACAGTGGAGCAATGTCTTCTGAAGGCCAAGGCAAAATGATTTTCCTTCTTGGAGTTTTCTGCCCAGGAAAATGATCGTACGTGGAAATAGAATAATGTTACTTCCAATCAGTCAAGAACTTTGAAAATTCACCTTTTCAAATGCACAGTTTTCTTAAAAAGTTACTTGAGGATGCTCCAGAAAGACAAAGACAAAAACCAATAAAGGGAAAATATGAGCTGCAGGAATCTACGTGTCACTCAGGAATGCAGCAAGGGGCTATCTCAGAATAACAGGGTCACACCAGTAGGACCAGCGGATCTATGTTTGAAGACTGCCTCACAGGAAGTGAAGAGGACAATACAAAAGGAACAAATGTAGCAGCTTCTCCCACTCTTAGGCCAAAAGCATCTCCTTAGTTTAACCTTTGACCATTTAATTCCACATCTCTATTGATATTTCATGACTTACTAGTTTCAGTTATCATCCTTGACTTTCTGCTCTAATGGATGAAATTTCAACTAACATCACTGTACACATTCTCTCAACATAACTGTATTTTAGTCTGTTTACCTTTAAACTTTAGCTATATGGAGCAAGAGAGAGACAGAGACAGAAAGACTACAAAGAGAAAGAAAGATATTTTAAAGTTACAAAGATAACATGTGTGTGTGTGTGTGTCCACACATGCATACACACTCCTTTATTATTTCTTTGTTAAAGGGAAGTGCATCCTCTTCTTACCCACTGGGTAGTAGGAAGTGACCTTCCCTTCAGTTTTTCTCTGCTCTTCCAGGTTGCTCTTTCTGTCTTCTGTAGTTTTATTTTCATACTATCAAGGTTTATAAGAGTTGTGCTGTATTTCATAGTCATTCTTTTATTTATTGTAGAATAACTAAAGTTGAAATAAATGTATAATATTTAATTACATTTACTATGTAAAGATTATCCACTGCACAGCAAGGCAGTGTTCAAAGATTGTATATTTTATACAGATTGTATATTTTAAACAGATTTCTTGTATTCTTAGGACTTCTAATTGCCTTTATAAGGTTTATACTTAATACCTTATAGGTATATATTTATATTCTAGAATTAATACCTTGTAGATGCCAAATATTTATATTCCAGCATGTAAATATATACATACACATATAAAACCTTTCAATGGTATATACTGTTTGAGAGGAGATGTGAAGTGCTGTGAGCTCCAAACTCGTCTATCACAGCAAAAAATCAGTAATGCCTAAAATTAATGAATCGAAAAATAGCAACATATCTATAAAATTAAAACATAGGTTTAAACTAAAATAAAGCATTCAGAGAGTTGAAAGAGATTGCCTCTGGCAGAGTGAAAGGATTATTTTGTTTTAAGGCTCCACTGTTCTTTTTAATATAGGTGTCCACATGAATTTGACTGAAATTTTAAAGCAACCTGTTAAAAGAAGGTGTCCCAGAAGTGGGTAACCACCCTCTTTTCTGGGGTTCCAGGATTCCAGGCACTTGTGTAAAGTTTTAGGTAAATAAAATGCACAGGATTTGCATCAGAAGAACTGCATACCTTGCTTCCATCTTGCTGTGGTGGCTACCACTGGTTAGATTCACCACACCTCACCATAACTTTGTGTACATATCATCTCTCACCCTCTCCCTTTATGACAAGCATCCTGTCATTAGAAAGAATTCTGAAGTTAGAGAGCGGGATTAGAGAATAGACAGCATCTACTAACCATGAGTCAAGCAAGACCCTCAACTTGCACTGTGCCTTTCTTTGTGTATTTCAAGTATGACATAAATGAAGCCAAACCAAGGACTTCTTCACCTCTCTCTCTAGGTGTAGCTGAAGCCTAAATGGAGGGGCACCTCCATCCAACATGTCCCCAAGGCACTGTGAGCAGTTTCTCTGTTCACCCTGGGCAGAAGAGGACAAGAACCTGGACCCTCTTCCCGAGGCAGCTTCCTTTATGCCTTGTGGCTGCGCAATGATTAATGCCAAGTGAGCGCCTTGCTCAGTGACCTTTCAGTTTTCACTGCCGCTTTCCTTCACTTCTCATAACTATTTGCAAATATTAGCTCCCCGGGTCATTTCTCCTCATCAGTGACTTTCACTGATGACAAGTAGGTTGTTCTTACACCAGCCTTCAGTGCATGCCTGTCCTGGTGTGTCTGGCCTCTGGTCTCCGATCAGGAATTGGGCATGCAGCCCACAGTCCCTGAAGTTTATGAATGCTCCCAGGTTGCCATGGAGAGGGACTTTGAAGGCCCAGGGCTGAGGGGGCATGTATCTCTTGCACCCCAGGTGACCAAAGATTTGTGAGATTTGGCCTCCCATGATGCAATCAGTGTAACCATTTAAGAAAAACTTAATTTACTGACTGTGCCTGCACCAAACTCCCATTCCCTTTTAACTTCCCACATACCTTTAATACACAAGTTACTTCCTGCTTAGTCAGTAGATGCCAGACTCAGAGCTTTGGGAAATCCCTGTTGCTTAGAGGCCATCTTCCCACCTTTCAGTCCCTCTCCATAGTTGTGAGGCCACCACCAACCAGCAAGTTAAATCCTTTCCTTGGCCTGAGTTCTCCATAACTCAGGTTCTTCCAAATGAAGTGTTAGAGAAGACATTTTGCATTTGCTGTTGTTTAAATTTGTTTTTATTTCTAATCTCTTACATCTCTACTCTTATTGAAATCCCTTTTCTATAAATGTTATTCAGTCTTCATTTGCCCTAAATAAACATAGTAAAGTGTGCTGCGGGTTGTTTAATTTTGATGCTAAATGTGTCTTAGAGGAAAGTGGCAAAAATGCATCCTATTTTTTCCCTTGTCACCAGAAATACGAGCTAAATTATTTATGGTTTGATATGAAACAGAGATGGATTCAGGATATTTGCTTTGCAGGAAAAAAAAGGGATTGAAACTGCAGTAAAAGAAATTTACATTTTGTTAAAGGAATGTATGTGCTTCTGGGAGTCACACTGCAACTGCTTTTATTGACCTCTGTGCCTAGTGGAGTGCCTGACATGTGACGTATTTGTGCAGTTGACTGACTTTGAAAATAATGAGTACACTACGCAACTCAATAGGCAGGTCTTAAATCAATGAAAAAAAAATAATAAAGCCAGCAAGCATTTTGAAAAATGCTGAGTAGGTGAAAGTCCTTAGTCACAGAATACACAGGGCAGTAGATAGATGCCTTCAGGTGCCTTGCATTCTAATCCCTGGCTGGAATTCCAGCAAAGAAGACTGGGGGTGGTAGGTGCACCCTGATGCCTAAGTTCTGATGAGGCCTGGCTCCTCAGAGGGGTTCTAGCAGATCACAAGATTCTGAGTTTCCTATCAACATGATTTGACAAGATCCTCTGTCTGTCATATTCCCATCATCCCATCTTTCATTCTGAGGAGAATTCCATGGACTTTTTTTTCCTCTGCCACAGGAGATATGGGCACACCTGAAGCCATGGCCCCCGTCATTGTGGTTGCCCCAGGCAACAGGAGCGTGGTAGCTGGGTCCAGTGAGACCACCTTGGAGTGCATAGCCAGTGCCAGGTACAGTCATGCCCTAGATATGGCCACATAGATTGATAATCCCTCATCTGAAAATCAGAAGCTTGAAATGCTCCAAAGTCTGAAACTTTGAGAATTAACATGGTACCACACATGAAAAATTGTACCCCTGACCTCATGTGCCGGGTCATGTGAAAACACATGCACACTAAAACTACTGCACAGCGATCTCTTCAGGCTATGTATATAAAGTACAGGTGAAGCTAGGCGTGCTGGCACATGCCTGCAATCCCAGCACTTAGGAGGCTGAGGCAAGAGGATCACTGCAAGTTCTAGGCTAGCTAAAAGTGAGCTTAAGGCCAGCCTGAACTGAGTAATGAGAACCTGTCTCAAAAAGGAAAACAAAAGTGTAGATTAAACTTAGATGAATTTCATCTTTAGACATGAGTCCCATTATGCAGTATGTGCAAATATTCTAAAACAAAAAAATACAAAATCTAACAAATTTGTGGTCCCCAGAATTTTGATAAGGACTACTGAACCTGTAGTAATAAATATCCGCTGGGGTGAGCCCACAGTGGGAAGAGTAGCACGTGATTTCTCCTCTTCCAGCAATAGCAGCTCGCTTGTTTGCCAATGCACCATGCACAGGAGGCAGGGACCTGGGACCTATAGCACGCCACAAGCAACCTGCTTCATTAGGTGATGATTTTCATTTTAGACATAGCTGATGTAGAGGGTCCAATCTATGGTATCAGCCAGAAAGAAGAAAGAAACAAGGCTCTAGGTAGCAAAGGAGAAAAGTCAATCCTTCTCCTATTTTGTAGTCCTAGGTGTTCTCTGCCTGCTTCTGGTCACTCCAGAATGGAGTTCAAATGGTCACGCCTCCCACGTAGCAGTAGTGTCCCCTAGTAGTATTTGTTTTAAACATTCTTTTCATGAGTAAATGGAATCATTAGCACTTATGGTTCATTGCTGCCGCAATTAGCTATCCTTGCTCAATAGCCCTTGAGCAGAATATGTTGCTGATATTTGCTATGAGGGAGTAGAGCTGTATCTGGATTGATTTTTAAATGTCCATTGTTCAACCCGCCATGATTCCTGCTAGAATTAGCTTTGTTAGCTGGTGCTGAATGCCTGAAACTATTATTATTGCCATCCACATGATTCATAATCATTGTCACCAATGCCCTTGCTCTTGCAGGCCTGTGGAAGAGCTGAGTGTGCACTGGAAGAGAAATGGCGTAAGACTCACTAGTGGACTCCACAGCTTTGGAAGACGCCTCACCATTTCCAATCCGACTTCTACAGACACAGGGCTGTATGTCTGCGAGGCAACACTGCGGGGGAGTGCTTTCGAGCCAGCCAGGGCCAAGGCTTTCCTTTCTATCATAGGTAAATCCTGAAGAAAATGATCCTGTCCGCATCCTCAAATAGCATCTCAGCCTCATCACTTCCAGGCTACAAAACAGCAATCCTGTGTCGCACTACTTTATGATTAAGATTATCTTCCTATTTATTTTTCCTAAGAAAATTAACTCATTAAATCTAAAGTTAAGGTGTTCCTAAGACTTCCAGGTAAAGTTCTGAACATGTCCAATCCTGAATCTTGGGAAAGAGGCAAAGTCCTCATCGTGGAAGTTGCCTGCATAGTCTGCCCTTTCTGCCCCTGGCTTCTTCTCGACCTTTTCTGGCTATTACAATCTGTGTTTAGAAGTAGTTATATTAATTTTTGACTCAGTAAGAAGCTAAAATTATTGGAGGTTATTTTTTGTTAAATTGAAAGATGAAGAAACAGCTGCATCCTAAACATGGGCTAAGTATTCACCCAGAAACAAGAATAGAAGATAAGATTGAGGACAGATGAATTGCCTAGTTCTGGATGCTAGAAAATAGTGGTAGTCAAGAAGCATGCTTTGTCCAATGACTGAGGAAATGTTAAATTTTTATTGGATTATAAAGAGATGACATTAAATTGAGAGGCAAGTGTCTTCATTTCTTTTGTTCTTTCCATCCCTATCATAATCGTGCATTTATTCCTAAGTGGCTTTGATTATAGAGTCCTGGTGACCCATCGTCTTCCATACTGGCCACTGATGATCTGCCTCAAAGGTCAGCTCCAGGAAGGACAATTCCTGCTGCATCTCCCTTTCTGAAATAAAGAGAATCAAGAACAGGAAAGATCCAATAGGAAGAAATCCTTCAGGGAGTGATGGCTTTTTCAGTAATACATTTCATAGTTGCCCACTCTGCAAAACAAGAAAAAAATAAAAACTTGTACTTTCCTATGAAGTTAGCAAGAGCATCAATGGATTCTGCATAAAAGCCAGTTGCTTTAAGCATTGTCACATTCCCCTAGGTAGTAGGAGGCTGGTTTGTGTCCCCAGTGTGACTATGCTAAATACAATGCCATGTGATCCTGTCAGCCCCTCTTTAAAAAAGATGAGAATGAAAAAAATGGCTGAGAAAAGCTTGGAGTCAGAGTCACTGCCTGTTCCACGTTTGGGGCCTGAGCTAACTCTAACTCCTCCCTTTCTTACTGCACTTTAGCTGTGTATGTAAATATCACATACCATTCTCTGCAGACTTTTCATCAAGGTTGATCTATGGCTATATGAACACAGCACATTATAGATTGAACCAAAATTAAAATTTGTGATGTGTAAATCTCTAGTAGACAGAACTATATTGTGTTAAAACATTTTAAGGTAATTTAAACAAGAGAGAAAATTTATCTCCCTATAAACTAGAAGGTTTGTTTCAATCATAATTCCTTTCTCAAGTATTTAAGTCTATCATGTGAACTTTGGTCATGCATTTATATCAGGATTCCAAAGCAGATTGTTTCTGTGTTCTGCAGTTTTCATCTCTGTGTTCTGACTTTTAAAGGCACACAAACGCACTTCACTTCTTATGATGTTGATTTAAATTCCCTTTCTATTCATAAGGATTTACTGCGACAGGTAGAATTTTGTGGTCAGATTGCACTGGGAAAGCCTTGAAGAAGGTGTCTCTCTCAATTCAGGGGATTTGAGTGAGATTATCACCCCATGCCCAGACTCCACAAAGGGATCATCCAGAAGCAGGACCAATCTCATAGGGCTGTCACCAGCAGGACTGAGAAAAGAGCTATCGATGTGAAAATGCAGATGAAAGAAAGCAGAAACAAATTGGCTCCCAATTACTTTTATTTCACACTGATGAGACAAGACAGACTGGCTGCGGCTGTTTACTCCACCTGTCACCTTCTCTGCACCACTGCTCAATTCCTGTGATTTGAACTGGAACCCCAAGCTCTGATCCAGGCAGCGTGACACCCACTCCGCATGGCCAGCAGGCTTCAGGGCCTGGGTCTCTGTCCCCAGCACCTCACTGCATTCAGTTGTGCTTCTCTCACTCACAGACCTCCTCCTGAGCAACTCCTCTGCCCCGTCCACGTGACAAACTCCAGATCACTGCCATGTTCCCCAGATGCACCAAAGCGGTGACAACAAATCTCCCGGCCTCCCTGCTTCATAGAACAGTTTCCCCCTGTGTCACCTGCACCTCCTTCCTGTTAGTGTCCTCCAGCCACTGGAGCCAACTTTGCCAACCATGGCAGGCAGAAAGTGCAGAGAATCCACATCCCAGGAGCAGCCCTCGACCAGTGTCTGGTGGAGATCCTCATTGGTGAGGGCATGTTTGGAGTATATTCTACACTGGTTCCCTAGTTACCCTGAGACATACCACACCAGTCTCCCATAGTGGAGCTGCCTTGGTAGCAGGCTTTTTGCACTCCCTACCTTGTATTTCCCCTCTATACTGCTGGCATCTAGCCCTGCCAGGACCTCCTCTAGAGAGACAACCAGAGACAAATCCTATACATGGTAGTTCTTCGAAGACTGCCCTTCTGTCCTAGATCATCTGAGTTTTTGAAGAGGCTCTGCCCTTCAAGACCCTCTCAGATGTCACCTCTGCTGATAGTCTCTCTCATTTGTGTACTGTAGTATATGGAGCATGCCTGAAGGGTGAATGGCATAAATATAATAGACATCAACTTATGACTTGACCAGTAGCTGGTATGAACAAGTGTCTTTGCTGTTGGCTTAAGTTTTCACATCCTTAACCTAGAGATGATATAGACAATGTCACCAGCTTACATGGCTCAGTATTGCCATAAGATGGTGACTCCATTTTCTGTGAGCCTCACTGCTAGAACACATCACATCCACCAGTTAATTACCTTCATCAGTTTATGTATACACACTTCTCATACTTCTGTGTCTGAAGTCAAGGGATGTCTCGCAGTCATGGAAGCTTTGTTTCTGGCTGGTGATGAGTGAACCAATGATTCCTCCAATTAGCTGCAGCCTCTTCGATTCAGAGGTACAGCATGTGTACCTTCTCCTCCACACCAACAGACTCCACATCTGCTCTTCACACCAAAGCAGTGCCCTTCACCCCTTGCCTACCCCATGAGTCTGCATTCCCTGGCATACCAGCTCTTTTGCCTCCACTCAATAACCTAGGAGGATGAAAGCAACTGGTACAGACTGCCATCTCTATTCATCTCAAATCTGTTCTGATTTCTATACTTGAGTCATTCAGAAATTCAAATCTCACCAGGTGTGGGTGGTGCATGCCTGTCCTCAGCCAGGCCTGGAAGTCTCTAATGCATATCCAGTTCAATCATTGAATAACCATCTTGTGTCTGGCCCCAGCTGGGTTACTTGGGGAAGGTGCTGGCATACTCACTCCCTGGGGGAAGGTGCTGTGGTCCTGGATGTGGTGGCCATGTATATGTACAAATTATTTTATCAAATATAACTCATTTGGGATGAAATCTCAGGAATTATACTGGTTAAAAAAGCCACTTCCAAATGTAACATCCTGTATTGTTACTGGGTTGACTCACCAATCAAAAATATTCCAGGTCATTCTTGCCTCAAACAAACAATTGGATGAAGCAAGCCATAAAAGGTGCCAAAAAGTTATTTGAAAAGTGTGGGATGAAGGGGTATGACAAGAACTAGCTCTGCAGAGTGAAGTTGGGTAGAACAAGAGAAAAAGAAAATAAAAGCAAAAATAAAAGTGTGTGATGCATCTAGGAAACACAGCCTGGGCTATGACAGTGGGCTCTGTAGCATCTCATATCTCTCTTACACTGACCACATCTCATGGGAGTCTCGAAAAGTTCCACATACGGAGTCCTGAGAATTCTTTAATGCTGTCCTGAGATTTTGTAATTGACACATCCCACTCATTTCCTGTATCAGTATGACCCATTTCCTGTATCAGTATGACCCTGTGTATAACATTCTTGAAATGACAGACTTATAAATAGCTGGCCAGTGGTTGCCAAGGACTAAGAATGGAATTTGAGGTGAGCCCAAAATTTGTACTAGTGACCTATTCTGCATCTTGATGTCGTGTAGACTCACAAACCTACACATATGATAATAGATCATAGCACTAAGAATGTGCACATGAACACACACGCGTGCATGCACATACACACAAGAACAAAACTGGGGAGATCTTGTTAAAGTAGGTTGATTCATCCTTGTCAATATCCTGGCTGTGAATCATGCTCTAGTTTTGCAAGGCGTTTCTACTGGGGAAGGGAGGAAAGCATACTTTCTCTATTATTTCTTTAACTACATGGCACTCTACAGTTCCCCCCAAAATGAAACATTTGACTAAGGAAATGAAAACTGTAATTAATCATAAGCAAATATTGATACTTAAGTTTTTACCCCTTTCCCCTGCAGCCCTTTAATCAAATCATGATAGTCGATATTGACTGTAGTATCCATTGATGAATATGGGGCATGACCTGCACACAAGGCCCTGACAGGATGCAGACACTGCATAGTTAGGATATAAATAATGCCGCCATCATTACTATTGATTAAGGAGACGAGACTGAATAGAATATTTGTGTATACAAAGACTAGCTTTGAAAAGGGGGGCATTAAATCTTTGCAGTATTTCTTCAGGCCTGGTCTGTACACACAACATCTAAGCAGAGGATTCTGCTTCCACCTAGTGAATTAGCAGTCATATCCACAGCCAGAGTGGGCAATTCAGGCAGATTATTTCTGCTCGAGTGGTCCAGGTAATTGCAGAATTGATACCTAACTTTGCCTCCATTCAAAAACCTTCACCCTTTCTCCTTAATCATTTCTTTGAAATGTTACATTTTCATTTCTGTTTCCTCATCTGGGTTCCACCCTGTTTTAAAGATACAGTCAATACAGGAGGCATGCCAAGCTATATTATCCACATTCAACACAATTACAATGAAAATAAGCCACTCTGGAAGACAGTCCCCAGAAATTAATTATCATGCAGGAAGTGAATACAAGGGTCTTTTGTTATTGTGATAATGAAATCACTACTACCTTAATACTCTTGAACTTACCCATTGCCTCTGTTGAATTTCTGCTGAATAAACTGAGAAAAATATTGCAATTTACTCTCCAAGGAAATTCATTGTTTAATTCAACCACTGTTTTTTGTTGCACAGGCTAATGGAGAGTCTAGAGATATACAAGTAACTGAAAGTTTCCTTTGCTGCTGAAGATAGATGAGAGGCCCCCTCCTTTTTTTTCTCTTTTTTATTATTTTCCATTCCATGGAAGTATTAAATCTATATTTTGGAGAAAAACTGCTAAGACTTTTAAAAATATGTTAATAGGCTGCACTCTTCCCAGACACTGGCTTAGTGCATTGCTGTGTCACTTTATTTGACATGCTTCATGGTTTGGTGTTGAGTTTAGATACTGAAGCAAACTAGCCTATAAAATACTGTGCTCTAAATATAAACCTTTATGAACCTCTTGGGATGGTCCCTCTAAAGTATGAATTAAGATACTCCATGATTCAAGCCCGTAAACAGAGAAGTAGCCATCACCCTGCGTAGTAATTTGCTTTTTGAAACATTCAAATATAAATTGCCTTTTGCCACTGCTGACTGAATCCTGAGTTGGTGTACGAGATAGTCACTAATGATGAAGTTTTTAGAAATAGCTTTTAAAAGGGGTTCAAACTATGTGTGCTATTGTGGTTTTTGAAATATCCTTCTTTTACTTAGGGGCTATTGTTTGCTTGTTTGTTTCTTGTTTAAAGAGCCACCGTATTTTACTGCGGAACCTGAGAGTCGGATTTTAGTTGAAGTGGAAGAAACCGTGGACATCATGTGTCGAGCTATGGGTAAGTGAGAGCAGCAGCTGGACTGGAGCCTGGTGTGGAGGAAAGATAATGGCAGTGTCGTTCTTCCAGGGAGGCAGTGGGTCCACAGGTTGGGAGCCATCAGTGGAGAGTGGAAGAGCCCAATAACCAGGCCAGGACTTTGGGGATGCCCTTGACCTGGCTTAGCTCTTGCTTCCTTACCTGTAACGTGAAGTACTGATATTTATCTCCTCCCCACCTCCTCCATCCCAAACAGAGAGGCCACAACATGGTCTGGAGACTCCCTCCAGGCGCTCAGATTCCACAGGGTGTGACCTCTGGACTCACCCCACAGAAAACACATCCTTATGGGTAGACAGTCAATACCAGTACACATAGGAGATTGTTTTTTTTTTTAAATAAGAAATTTTCCTACTTTTCTGCTTCTCAGCTTTTCATTGACTTCCTTTGGTTCTTTGGGTAATTCCCTCTTCCTCCCCTGCCTTGGCTGCTAGCTCTCCACCCAGTTCAGGCAGCATTGGCCTTTCTATAACTCCTCAGGTAGAGGATCTCCTCAAGGTAAGTTCACTGACAAAAACCTGTGTTTGGATTCTGGCAACTGCTGAAAAGTGAAAGGATCATTTCCTGATTGTGTAAATCTGGCAACTATAAAGGGTATTTTCTTCTGCTCCTCAAGAGCTAGGAGGATAAGAGTTCTATCTATTGTGTAAACCTTTAAAACAGTTCCCTAAGGAAGACATCATCTCATTGTACACATGGGAAACCCAAGCCATAGACAGCAAGTTTAAGCAGTGTGCTCAGAGCCATAAAGATAGAAGGAAATACTGCTTATAAAATCATCACCCAGTGCCAGGCACATAGTAGCTACTCATTAAATCACATGTTAATGGAGGTAGAACTCAAGCCGTGAGGAGCATTGGTGGCAGAAGCACCTGTGGTTTGTGTAGCACTGCTCCTACCTGAAGGATCTGTTTCCTTCATCACTCTGGTCCCAGCTCCTGGTCACCTCACAGTGGCCACCTTCTACAAATCTGTGCTGTTATTCTCTGTTTTGGCTCTACTGACATAGCTACAGGGTAGGAGAAGAGAGTATTCTGAATATCAAGTGAATATACTTTCTTTGCTGTGGTTGCATTGTTCTTTCTTGTATAAACAGCAGTTTCTTAAGGATAGCTCTATAAATGTGAAGCTATAAAATACTTAGAGTGCTTATATTTCAAAAATGAGAGTATACACTACTATAGGGTTACTATTTCTGTTTATGTCATTAAATTGGCCCCAAGTAGAAATACTCCTAGTTCCCCATGTATTTACAATTATTTTTCAATAAATGACAATCTTAAACTCTCCTTTTGACAAGAGAATGCTCTGTTTTGCATGGTTTCTACAGGGTAAACTGTTCATTAAGCATAGGCTTATAAATATATATCAAGCAAGTCTTTCAATACTGCTTTGCCATCATATAATTTACTACTTTCCGTTAATCTTGACAATGAAATTCTAGCAGCATGTAAAGTGGAGATTCTTTATGAAAGCTACATCATGTACTTTCCATTATGAGGTTTTACATGAATTGGTTATGCTTTTACCTTGAAACAGATTTTTTAAAATTTCCTGTTATAATGAAAGGTGACAGGAAACATAATTAAGGCAAAGAACAGACTCTGAAAACACATTATCTTGAAATATCCAAGGTATTGCCTTTATTTATTAAAATGGACATATTGCCCCTGCCTACATTGCCTCTTGAATCAAGGGATTTGGGAATGACTGCCAATGAATCATAGCAAGGTGTGCTTTTTATTGCAATGCATTTTATATTTAGAGAAACTGAGAGACAGAACCATCTGAGATCTAGAACTAAGTCTAAGAATTTGTTCATTTCACCATGCCTGCTGGAGTGCATTGTCTTGTGTGAGTTGGTCTGACTGGCTCTGTAGAAGCCTTTTTAGCCTACCCAGTTTACCCTTCTTGGGTAGGAATGACCTCTTGGACTTCAAGAATAGTCAGGAAAAAGTCTTAAGAATATTAGTTGCCTAGCCATGTGGAGAAGGCACCAGGAGAAGAACTTAGTTTTTCAGTGCCCCATACAACCTGGTATCACTTAGTCATCAGCACCTGGGTTATGTCCTGACCTCAGTTGTGTATGGAACAAGCCACAGAGGTTCTTATACTATTTATTAAGTTGAGGACAGACTCTTTTATTTACAACCCAGATTCTGCCCTTTGTGTACTTGTCCTGCTTCCATTGTCTATACCTTTCCCAATCTCACCCTACCATTCTTCAGGACTGGCTGATCATTTCTAAAGTCCTCATTTCTGTCTATAACACCACTGCAGTGAAGAAAGGGCAAGAAAGAGTAGTGCTGTGTGCTGAGCCTTTCTGACCCTCCCATCCTCCTAATCTAACTTTTTGCCATGTTCCTGGATCACTAGGCTCTTGGGGTATAAGAATAGAGCTATGTTGCATCCCCTGCCCTTGCCAACTGTCTATTTCATGTTGATCCTGTGGACAGATATCCAAAATATAACACCTCTCCTGCCCTTTTAACCTTTCTCATATACTTGTCACTTAACCTGTTGACATGCCCTCCAGTTCTGTTGGCTTTCATTCTATAAGTAATGTCAGCCCCTTGGATAGAGGGTATATGTCTTGGTTACTTTTCTCTCATTGCTGAGCTGAAATACCTGAAATCCAAAATTAAGGAAGGAAAGTTTTATTTAGCTCACAGTTTGTGGAGGTTTCAGTCCATAATCAACTGACTCCAAAGCAAGATGGCATGGCACATGGGAAACACTTTCAGGCAGCAGAGGAAAGTAAAGCAACATGAACAAAAAGAGGAAAGAGCAAGCCTCTTTTCCTTCGTTGTATTCTACACAGGCTACCAGCTCCTTTCCAGGACAGGTGTAGCACTCACAAAATCTCCATGCTTCCTCTTGCACAGGATAAGGATGTTTATAAAGTAAGGACCCTGGATCCCTGATGAGTCACTTAAAATTCTAAACTTCTTAAGTTGATACAATGCATCAACCATAACAGTCTATTAATCACTTTTTAATTGCTAGTACAAAACATTCTGACATCTAAAACTTAAAAGAGGGGAGGTTTATTTGGCTCACGTTTTCAGAGGGTTCATTCCATTCAGCTGGCTCCAAGTAGCATGGCAAGAAGTAGCATGGCAAGCACATATATCAGAAAAAAGCTGCTCAGCTCATAGCAACCAAGAGGCAGAAAGAAAAGAAATAGCCAGAGAAAAATATATACCCTCCCAATGTGCTTATCCACTGTTTACTAGAGAAATAGGTATAATGCAAGATGTACAAATATGTAAAAAATTACAAGGTTGATTTACACTGTTCAGCCACAAAATCAGATGAGGAAGCATGCAGAGGGTGTTTGCACACTGGAGGCTGAAGGGTCCATCCCAAGGGCTGGAGCTTACTGCAACATCCTGTGCAAGTCTGTATCAGGAAGGCAATGAATCTGCAATGAGACACTGAAGAATCTACAATGGAAGGCCGACGAGCCTATGATGAAGACTAAAAACTATGCCGAAGGCTGACCAGTCTGTGCTGGAAGGCTGAAAAGTCCCAGGCAGAAGCCAAAGAGTCTGTGTCAGAAACCAGGAGATGATGTCCCAGCTTAAGGCAAAGACTGGAGCTCCTGCAAAGAACCAGCAATCAGACCTTCCTCATTTGCCTTTTATTGTATACAGACCGCTCCTTCTGGTGGGTGTAGCACTCACACCACCTGCCTGCCCTCTTCTTGCACAGGCTGAGGATGTTACAAAGTAGGGACCCTGGCCCCTGAAAATGACTTAGTTAAATTTCTGACCTGCTCAGGTTGACACAGTGTATCAACCATTGCATCCACGTTCTCTTAACTGGTCCTCAGCTCCTAACAAGGCACACTTAGCCATGAACTCATCAATGGATTAATCCACTAATGAGTGTAGAACCCCCATGATCCAGTTATCTTCCAGACGTGTGAGACTTCGAGGTAATATTTTTATCTGAACTATAGCAAAGCATATTTTAGAGATGGCTCCAACTTTGATTGTGGTTGCTTTTGTCAATGAATGCTATCCATCAAGCACTCACTGTGTGCCAGGCAAGAACATTATATGTAAATCCATCTCATCTTCAAGACTTTGAAATTACAATGATCATTTGCTTCCCTGCATATGAGGGAACAGAGGCAAAAACAGATGAAAAACTCGGCCCAAGAAGGTGCAGCCAAAAAAGGGCAAACCTAGGCAGTGACCTTTGTTCTGCCCTCTGAGCCAGTGGCCCTGCAGAAGCAGAATCAAGACCTTCATTTCCATTCCCACCTTGAGGACAATCACAGTTGGGTATCCTTCCAAACAGGAGCACAAACCTATGTTGGTTTGGGTCAGAACCTAGAAGACTGTGCAGCCCAGGCATTCAGAGATGGCACCCACTCCTCTTCTTTGGTTTTCTTCTCTCCTTTCTCTCTCTCTTTTTTCTTTTTCATCTGTCATCTCCCTCTCCTTCTCCTTCTCTTTGGCTCCCTCTCCTCTCCTTCTCTCTCAGGGTCTTCACACTGAAGTACATCCCTAGCTGTTTTATTTTTAGACAGGGTCTTGCTACATTTTCCAGACTGGGCTCAAACTTAAAATCCTGACTCAGCCTTGCAGATCAATGTAGTTACCACCATGCCTTGCCCACTCTTCTTAATGCCTCTCAGGGTCAATCACTTCACAAAAGATGAGAAAAATAACCCTTTATAAGTAGTTGAAATGGCAAATAGATGATAAAATTCCTATGAAAATAATGCCAGTTTAACTGTTGGGCCAGTTTTACCCCAGTCCTCATATAAGGGACTATTTTAATTTAATTCTTTTAAATGCTCCTTTACTTCCACTCCTACCCAGGGGTCCCTCTTCCCACCCTCCAGTGGTACAAGGATGCTGTCTCTATCAACAAGCTCCAGAACCCTCGGTACCAAGTACTGCCCAGCGGAGGCCTACGCATCCAGAAGTTGCATCCAGAGGACTCTGGAATATTCCAATGCTTTGCCAGTAATGAAGGAGGGGAGATCCAGACCCATACCTACCTAGATGTTACCAGTAAGTACCACCCATCAGCAAAACCAGACAACCTGGCTGGGCCTTCCAGCTAGACCTTCCTACGTTATGCCCCATGTGATATAGAATAGTAGCATCCCTCAGCACTCAACATGAATGCATGGGGCAGTATAGCCAGAGGTGACTGCAAGGGAGGGCCACACTGCAGGCATGTCTTGATCCACTTTGAGTCCCTTAGCAAGCCCTGCCAAAGCTCATAAGCTTCTAGATCACCCTGGTCCCTCCTAGAACCCAGATTTCCCATCCTATGGTCCCCTACCTTCTAGCACTTGTGCCTTCCTCTTTCTGAAAGAGAGCAGAAAAGGGTGCCCAGTTTTTCTGAACATGGTCAGAAACACAGCAGAGTGAATAGCTCACTCCTAATCTTTTTCTTTTGATCTTTTTCCCATTTTTATATCCATTCCCTATTTTAGTTTTATTGAACAATTATAGTTCTTTTGTGAGTTTCTTTTATTATCCCATTAACAGAAATACCTTGGTACTCTATCTTTGAAAAATAAAATAAAGGTAAAGTTTTTCACTATATCTGTGGGTTTTCTTTTTAATCTCCCACAGTCGTAATATTGTTCTTCTAAAATGAAGTAGATTTAGTGATTATGGAATTATACCTTTCATGTTTGCCCTTTTGAAAGCAAAGTGCTGATGTCTTGGGGTATGAGAGCCATTGAGAAGGCCAATCGATAGCAGTGTGCACATGGCCAGTGGCTCTTATCAGCCAGGGCACATGCAGAGACTGGGATAGTTTCTAAAGATCCACACATCTATTGTGGTAAACTCAAGGTCACTTCCCTGACCTTGGCCCAGGAATCAAATTTCTCCTTTCATTTGGACCATAGAAAACTAATATTTCTTCGAATAGTAGAACTAATCCTGGATGCTTTAGCCAGAAACTGAATTTTGGTCAATTAAAATGATTTAAAGACTGCCATGAAACTGGTCAGGATGTTCAGGCATGGGGTTTAGTTAGTTTTTTTTTTTTTTTTAGGATGTGATTGTAAATATTTGAACTTTGAGGCACAAGGTCTCTCACAGCAGTTCAGCTGTGCTATGGTAGTGTAGAAGCAGGAGCAAATGGGAGTAACTGTGTTCCATAAAACTTCATGCAGGAAAATAGGCAATGGCCTAAATTTGGCTCTCAGGTTATAGTTTGCAAACCCTACTTATTCAGAGGCCTTGGAACTGGAGGATGAAGTGGCTTACAGTGTTCGTGTAATTTTTTTCAGGCTAGGTTTCCTTGTCTGTTCATCTGTAACTAACCTAGTCTGGTTCACAGGATTCTGAGTGTCAGATTGAAAATTTAAATGCAAGTGTTCCTTTAAACTGGTCATCACAATGATAATGTTTCATTATCTGTTTTCTAAATATAGAGCCTTTCTTGCAAAGGTTTTTTTTTTCCCAAATTAAACTATCCTTAATGAAAGGAAAATGTTTTTAAAAAATCAATACTGAATCATAGGTGCAGCCAACAATTCCTGAGCATCTGGTTGGACTTTGGGGCACAGCTATGAGGAGCATCTGTGCTCCAGGACACAGGGTGCTTAGGGGAGGAAAAAGACAGAAAGGAGAAGAAAGCTCAGCCCAAAGTGGGTACTGTGGGGAAGACAAGAGCAATGAACAAAAGGGTTTCCAAGTTGACATTGAGATGAGAGCCGAAGTAAGGAGCCACCCTGAAGATCTTGGAGACATGCCTGTCTCAGAGTGAGTGGGGCATGCAGCAGCCCTGGAGGAAATGAGCCAACTCTTACTTGTGAGCCTTTGCCTGTGTGCAGGTGAGGGGTGGCAGGTGACTGGGACAGAGACAGTGCAGATGGAGTCCCTGGGGTACTCATAGGTGCTGGCCCCTGCAGGCCAGTAGATCTGTGAGACAGGAGCAGAGGCACAAAGTCCAGAAAGGAGTCCCTGGGTCATCTAGGTAGAATCAGGACTCAAGGGCTCACACCTGTGATGGGAAGAAACAGTAGGCTTCAGGGTGGGTGGTAGGTGGGGGCCCAGGACTACTGTGGCCTACCAGGTTCCCACCCAGGAGAAAAAAATGGCAGCTGCTGCACCTTGGTCCTTGCACCTTGGTCCACAGCACCCACTCTGGGCTTGGTCCTCTTGAGTCCTTTCCATTTCCCTCCGGGGACTGTCATGCATGATCTGAGTACAGGCATTCCTGCTACACTGCCATACCAGCATAGTTGTTGCTAGGGAAAGACAATTAGGCATGACCTCACCCTAACCAGCCTGCCCTGAGCCAGGATTGGTGGCCCTTGCAGCCCAGTGAGTGGGAAACACTGTGACATCCAGCAGGTAGGCCCTTACTGAGGTCCTCACAACCCAGTTATTTCAACTCCCAAAACAGATCCTAGAAAGCATGAATGTGTCATCTTGCGGTGAATATTTTATATTCAAAAAACAGCTTTCCCTTTTAGTTAGAGAACAGAGATTGTTTGTTTCTCTGAATAAAAGCCTCCCCTCTCTTTAGCATTCACTAAAACTGTTCCTCCTGGGTCCTACACTTGGCAGCTGTGCATCTCATTTCTCTTCAGGTTGTAAGCAAAGATAGATAATTCCTGGAAGACAAATCACAGGGAGGTTGTAGTTACTTCTGAAAGGTTTTCCTTTTTTCACTGTTACCTGTGCAACTGGCTCTGCAAAGTCAGTCTGGAACTTTCCACCAGGCTATCTCTTGGGTCCTGCCTATTTAGGGATGATGCACTGGGCGCTCACTACCTTAATTCCTCTCCACAGATGTTGCCCCAACATTTATCCAGTGTCCAGCTGATACCACAGTGACTGATGGGATGACAGCTGTCCTACGGTGTGAAGTGTCTGGGGCTCCCAAGCCTGCCGTCACATGGAAGAGAGGCAGGTGGCTTCCACTTTCCAGACTGCCCGACTCACATAGAAAAAAACTGTCAGGCCACTTTGTGTTCAGTTCTCTTCACACTCATCCATCAAGTCATCCATTCAGTAAAAATTAAATTACCATTAACCATTCACTGAGTACCCCTGCTAGAGACAAGAGCATAAAGATGAATAGGATAGAAAAGACCCCAGCCTTCTAGAAGAAAAAGCAGACATTAAAAAATAAGAAGAATTGTGCAAATGTCACTCTCCCTTACCTAACTCCTCCTAAAGTACCTTCAGTCCCCTGTGGACTTTAAAATATTAAGTATTTCACTGAACTAAATTAGGAAGCATGTCTTTCTCTTCTCTGTTGGCATCATTTTACACCCTCCCAACTTAAACCTGGTAGGCTTAGTTTGAACTGTATTTCCAGTTCATGTAAAGAGTAGTGTCATGTCACTGGCTGGTTTTGTGGTCCATATGGTGTCTTTTACAAGTCAGGCACATGGGCAGAGCCTGTGTGGAATAAGGCTGTGCTGAATTGCATTAATTCATGTAGCTTGATGAATCTGGAGGAAACTTCAGAAGTCACATCTGGTCCATACTGCCAGAAACCTGCGTGGTGGCTTTTTCACCTCAGGGTATAGTTCCTCTATTGTCAGATCTAGATGGGAAAGATTGTGTGTGTGTGTGTGTGTGTGTGTGTGTGTGTGTGTGTGTGTGTGTCTGTGTCTGTGTGTGTGCACACACATGTGTGCCTGTGGTTTTTCCTTTGCAAGGGAGGGGGTAGTTTTGGTTTTGGTTTTTGTACAAGTGATTGGACCCAGTGCCTTCCTTCGTACTGTCACATTAAGCTATGTCTCCAGCCTTTTTAAATTTTGATTTTGAGGCAGACTTTCACTAACTTTCCTGGGCTGGGCTTGAGCTTGAGTCCTTCCTCCCTCAGGCCCCCAGAGACCTGAGGTCACAGGTGTGCACTATCATACCCTGCTTGCCTCTTATTTTATACATTTCCTATTTTCTTTCCTGATCTATAGCGTAATCATAGCGTTATATAGAAAAATTACAAATGCATGTAAATATAAAGAAACATAAAAACCAATCACCCAAAGATAATGATCCTGTACATGATCATATTTGTTTAACCAAGTTTCTCAATATTGGGTGATTAGGATGTTCTAATGCTAAGAAATGCTAAGAGTGCTAAGAAGAGTACTTTGGTTGTTTTTGTACATGAAATTTTCACTTTAATTACTTCCTTAAATTATGTTCTTGGTTGTTGCCCTACTTCTTTCTTTTCTTTCAAGGGTTATGGCTGTAACATTCTTGTTTTTTTACTGGTCTTCAGGAAACAACATTTTGGCCAGTGGCTCTGTCCGGATTCCTAGGTTCATGCTGCTGGAATCTGGGGGTCTGCAAATAACCCCTGTGTTCATCCAGGATGCTGGCAACTACACCTGCTATGCGCTCAACACGGAAGGCTCTCTGAACGCGTCTGCGACGCTCACCGTGTGGAGTAAGCCCACAGGCCTGTGTGCCTCCTGCTCACCACGCTGTCAGCGGCACATCATCTGTGCCTCAGGAATGGCAATATGCCCTTGACTTTCTCACTTAATCAAAAGGGAATGCTTATTTTTGCAATTAATTTACAGAAATCTGTTGAGTAGTTAATATTTTAGTTTGTAGAAGAGTAGCTAGAAGATGCATCCAAAGAAGTAATGGTAATGTTTCAGGAAGGAAAGTTAAAGACTTTTAAAAGTCAGCAGAAATGTCATACCTAACTAGCTCAATAACAAAACTGATTATTGACTAACTTTATTGGATGTTATACTGAACCAAAAATTAAAATCCTAAAGGAAGCATATTTTTTTCTATACTGTCTCATGATCAAATATACCTCTGGTTTAGTTGTCTATGTTTCTTATATATTGAGATCAAACTGGAAGAAAGTCTTTATTGTTTTTGCAGGTATTCTCATTCTTATTTTATCCATGGCACTAGTTTCTGAAATGCAGATTAAGTTGTTTTCTGCAACATAAGGATTGGAGTACCAAATACCACCTTCCTTCCTTTTATACTCAAGTGCCAAAGTATTTTTTCTCTCTCCTTCATCTAACTCCATATCACTAAAAGCTCATTTATCAAAACAGCAAAAGACAGCACTTGCTAACAGATTTTTATAAGGCTATCTAATAAGGAGGGAAAGTTTTAACTTGCATGTGTGAATAATACGTTAAAATGTCACCCTAAAGAAAAATCATTGTGCTTCATTTCATATTTATTTAGCATTTTCTATCATATAGTTAGTGTCCACTTTGATAAGTGATCCTTTTCTAACTTATTAGATGTTATAAAAGTATCAAGAGCTTAAAATAAATGAATCCAAATTTCCACAATATTGGCAAGTACTAAAAAAGAAATTTTGTTCCATTCAGCAGTTAGACTCAACTAATTCTTACTCATCATATGTCCCTAAAAATTGACCATGCATTAAAAAGCTTGAGCAAAAATGAGTTGTGAATCTCTATAGATCACTCACCAAAAAATTTTGTAGGTCTGCTAGGATTCAAAATTATAATCATACTAGAATGTTTAATATAACACTTCAGTGGCCTGCAGATTCTTTTGCAAACTGCTAGCTCGTACAACTTGTAGTAACAAACATATGTCCTAGGCCTTGAACCTAGCCTTATGGCTCCCCAGTTCTAGACTCTTTGTGTGGCACTATGCCACTCCCACCCCTTGCAAAGGTGAGTGTGGTATGGAGCCACACCTTGCCAGGATCACATACAGGGACAGGGAGGCTAGTATTATTTGTAGCCTTAGGGGCCCTGCCCCTCACAAGCTCTGTAGTATTGAGCAATTGTTAGTGTTCCTAAGCATGTGTTTTCATTCATAAAAACCTAGAGTGATAATATTACAGCCTTCAGCAGATCACTGTGAGAATTAAATAAATTAACATAAATGAAAGCACTGTGTGAAGTCACAAAGTGCTGTTGGAACATTAGAAATTGCTAAAATGATGATAGGAGGATCCTGAAGACTTGGGGAGGGAGGTTAACTGACTTTGCTGGGAGCAGAAATCCTTGTTGGAAATTCCCTGAGCATTTCTGAGCACTTCCATCTAATGCTTCTTTTTCTGAGCACTTCCATCTAACGCTTCTTTTGCTAAGATAAGAGATAATCTGGAGGTTTTGATGTCAGATGACCAATTCATCATCCCCCTGAGGGCAAAGGTTCTCAAACTCATAATGTCATCTGAGCTGTGACTTGTGTTGTTTCAGATCGAACCTCTATCATTCACCCTCCTGAGGACCGTGTGGTGATTAAGGGGACTACGGCCGCCCTACACTGTGGAGCCACTCACGACCCCCGGATTTCTCTCCGGTCAGCTCAGTCATTACGATGCTTTGGGCCTTATTAATATTCTGTGAGCTTATGAAGAGAGTAGAAATGAGAAGGAAGAATTTGGGAACTTTGATTTCAGTGGCAGATCCCTGATTACAGTATCTTACAGTCATGGGCTCTATCATTAATCATACGAATCCCATTTTCCACTCCAACCTTATGTATTATTTACAGTGAGCTACGTTCAACTTCATGAGTTCAATACAGCTTTTCATGATTTTTCTGCCAAGGTTAATACACTGTCTGTAAAACATACTTGTCAGGGACTGATACCTAATGAGAGAAAAATCCAGAAGGATGGAATAAGATTTCAGCAGTGTTTACAAGGGGCTCTACAGTACCCACAGGGGTTTTTTCCACTCAAAGGTTGGTTCCATTATGAAATGGGAGTGAGGAGGGCCTATATGTAAAGAAAGACAGCCACAGTTACCCAAGGCAGTAAGAGGAAAATACACATAATGAAGGGAAGTGGCTGATTCCCTAAAGCAAGTATGATACCCTGTCTTGGTTTGAATTTAGTCTGCAGGGTCATAATAAAAATCATGACCCTCCATAGAAAGGGTGGTTACAGACATATACTGTCCAAATGGCAGCACTTGAGACATAGTTTTTAATTGTCAGAGTGAGTTTTAGAATAAAAGAAGGAAGAGATCCTGCCATCATAATAGAGTCACTCTGGCTTCAACTCCAAAGACATCTCCAAAGACATGTCCAGCTGCATCTGGGCCATTTCTGCTTTGAGCAGAGGGGATCGTTGTTGATGCATGCATTAGTAACTGGGTTCTGAGGTAAGCCAACTGCTCACAGGTATTTGGCAAATCATGAATTTCTATATCTCAATGTGGCTCTCTGAAGGTCTCCCAGGCACAAAAACAAATTTGGTTTATTTATAAGATGGCTGAATGCAAAACTAAATGGACAAATAGAGACTAGCAAGTTAAAGATTACCTAGCAAATCCTTGGAGACTGACTTAGACATGATTATCATGCCTGGAAAAGAATTCATTCATTCTGAATGATTTAGACCACGATTTCAAAGAGGGAAGAACAAATAGGTCTGATTTTCTGCTTCCCTGAGAGCTCAAGAAGAATCCCCTTGGCTCGGCATGGTTTTCTTGTAGCATTTTATGTGAGATTAAATGGGAAGCCCCTTTCTGATAGGGGACTGGATTGTTCTCCTTATCTCAGGTTTCACTGCCCCAGGAGACCTGAGTTGCAAGTGATAATCTATCCATTCTCCCTTCTTGTGAAATCTGCCTTCTTCTATTTCTGTGTAATTTCAGATGAGTAGTTTGTATGTCTGTGCTCTGTGAATATGAGGCCTTTACAGAATTGAGTATATTTTGAAAATCTGATCAAATTGTTCTGGAAAAGAAAAACATACTTTTCGTCTCATCTAGCAGTGAATAGTATCCCTGCTCAGGGACATCTAAAGACTGAGCAGGCTCCTAATTGACTCTGCATTTCAAAAGAAAAATTGGCTAAAATGACCAGATATAAAAATTAAATAAGAAAGAAATGCAGTTTTAAGAACCATCTGCTAGAATAGTAGGATTTCAAGAAAGTATGTTTGTGATTTATGATCTGGTTTTTCAGGACTTGGGTATTCCATTCTGGGTTCTTTAAGTGCCATGCCTCCTCTCCGGGTGGCACTCTTCTCTTGCATGCTCATTCTTGGGGCAGGTGTGTCAGATACCTTTTAGCAGATAACAGGCTTGCAGGTGATCCCAGAGTCCCTAATTCTGAGACACAGAGTTTTCCATTCATCATCATGGGCCCATTTTAACTTTAGCATCTACTTTTCTTTTGCCAACTTTTTGTTTTTCCTATGTATAATTGACACACTGTAAAATTTGCCTTTTTAAAGAACACTATTCAGCAATTTTTAGTATGTTTTCAAGGTCATAAGTTGCTTGCTTTTTGACAAATGGGAAAGCCTATGACCCTGTTCCTGAGGTTCTGTAACTGAAGATCCTGTGCTTCATCCACAGCTATGTGTGGAAGAAGGACAACGCAGTCATCACCCCATCTAGCAGCTCTAGAATTGTGGTGGAGAAGGATGGCTCCCTCCTCATCAGCCAGACATGGTCTGGTGATATCGGAGACTATACCTGTGAAATCGTATCTGAGGGAGGGAATGATTCTAGGACAGCCCGGCTAGAAGTGATGTGAGTACTGCATGTTGGTGTTAACTACCCCTCTGGGTCTGCACTGCTGCATGCAGGCGTGCCCTTCTGATGACAGCCACTCCACAGCCACAAGGGTCATGCTAGGAGCCGAGCTGACCAGTCAAGGCCAGAACTTCTTGCTACACAGTCAAGTACTCTGACAAGTTGTTGGATTTTTTAAATACTTTCAGATGAGTCATTCTTGGTGCATATAGTTTGATTAGAGGTTACCAGGCCCATCAGTTTTTCTGTTCTATATCCTAGGTAGATGATGTATCATGATGGGCTGTTTACCTTGCTGTGGTTAAGAAATTCTTAAACTGGGTTTGGTCACAAATCTGTAATTGCAGCACTCTGGAAGGTTGAGGCAAAAGGATTGCAAGTTTGAGGCCAGTTTGGGTGACTTGGCAACTTAGTGAAACCCTGTCTTAAAATGAGAAACTTTAAAAAGGACTTGGGAATGTCACTCAATGAGAAGGCTCAGGGTTCAGTCCTCAGTACAAAAAATAAAAGTGGGGAAAGAAAGGAGAAAGGAGAGCAGAGGGGAGGAGAGGAGGGGAAGGAAGGGAAGGGAAAGGGAAGAGAAAGGAAAGAGGAGAGGAGGGGAGAGGAGAGGAGAGGGGAGGGGAGGGGAGGAGAGGGGAGGGGAGGAGAAGGGAGGGGAGGGGAGGGGAGGAAAGGAGAAGAAGAGAAAGCTAAAAGAAAACATGAGTTTATTTTTCCATCTGATTGCCTATCAGAACTTTTGGTCAGCGAAAAGTGTCAGGGTCAGCCCACAAGACAAGACCAGTGCAATGACAACCTACTAAGATTTGAGCTTAAGTCAGCCTCAGCTGCCTCCCTGTAGGTAAATAGACACTTTCCATTAAGTCTTTTGAAATCCTGAAAATAGCAAGCAGCTTCCCATTACTTCTAATCCAGGCCTTCCTGGGGTTCCAGGGGCGCAGGTGGGAACCATCAATCTCCTCGGTGCCCGCTCTTTTTCTGCAGCTCCCTTTTCATTCACAGAGCTGGAAACTGAAGTGCCTGCTGACAAATTTCACTTTTCCAACATGTATTTATTTGTCCTTTAAAAACTATGTCCTCCTAGATAGTCCCAGAGCACATGAGTACAAAAATAAAATCTGAAATAAGGAATCAAAGTAGTGCAGTTTCCAGGGCAGCAGCCAGGCTGGTGGCACATACCTGCCCCACATCCCTGAGGACACTGGCCTTGCTGGGCCATCAGGAAAAGGGAGTCAGGGTAAACTTGCCTTGTAGACTCTGCCCACCTTGATCAGGGAAGAAGTCTGTACACAGAACTCGCTTTGAATTCCTCACTGCCACCAAGGAATAAAAGTGAAAGCAATGTTTGCTAAGTGCTGTGTGTGGCCTCCTGTATCTGCTGCACACATGAATGACTGACCTAGCACATACTTTCCTAGGCTCACCACTGTTTGTAGATTTAAAAGGTTAGTGATGTGGAGCAGCCAGTCCAGAAAGCCCTGTGCTACTTCAGTACCTAGAAAAATTCCATCGCACCTCCCATTCTGACTGTCTCCAGTATGACTCCTTGTTCTGTTTCCCTAACCCCTGCCATAGCACTTGGCCTCCTTTCTGCCCATCTTGTGCCCCCAACCTCATCCAGCATGCTGCAGCCCCCTACTGTCTCTGCTGTGCCTGTATCTTCTACCTGGATTACCGAAAAGGGTCCTGTTCACATGTCCTCTCACATATCACTGCAGGGTAGTTTTTCCTGCTATTTGGACATGGAATGCCTCCTGCAATCCCCCTGTCCTCCATGTAGCACGGACTTGGGCCACACCGGGAGAGGAGAAGGCTCTGCCTCCTTGGTTCCTTCTCTCTGGGCTCAATTTATATTCTGATAGAATGTTACACCTTGATAGAGTGTTTTTTATATGCCAGCTGAAAGAATGAATGAATGAAGGAATGATAAGTATATTTGTGGCCAGATTCCTTACTCCCTTCTTATCTTTGGGTCCTCATAAATAAACAGGTGAGCTCCTGCCCCTCCAGCAAAGCCCCTAGACATCAGTGGCATTTCTTCCTCAGAGCTCTCTGAGTCTCAGGTCAGAGATTTCTTTTCTTCTTCATTTTGGTGATATTGGAGGACATCACCAGTGAATTCATGCAATCTTCCAAGCTATTCACATTTTTAAACTACCTTTGAGAACTCTTAGATCATCCATTGTTGGTATCAAATAAATAAGTGTTACCAGTTCATAAAGACTCTGTCAGCAGAAGCCAAATTGCATACTTTCAATATAGCACATTCTTTTTATTGTGCACAATTTTTATGTTCTGATTTACATATCTTCCCTACTATTTGCTTATTTGATTTCCTCTAAGTAAAATACATTTTTCAGCAAATGTTGCTGTATGTGTAAAATAATAGGCTTTCTGCAGTGGTAAAACACCTCATCTCTAAATATAGAAATATTTGCAGATTTGTGATTTAAACCAATTTAGATGCCAATGGTTGCAGAGCTGATCGGAAGGCAGTTGGTCCTGTGAGTTGCTGGTATCATAAACACCACACTCTTTCATGTTGGAGCAAATCAGGAGAGTTGTTCATCTCTAGATCTAAGAAGGTCTGAAACTACATCATCAGATGACAATAATAATAACAATAATATTAACATGATTGTAGGGCATTTGGTGCTTTCCATAGACTTCCAAATTGAGCTCTGTAACATCTTGATTTACTCATGGCAAAAAAGTAAAGCAAGGAAAAACTCTCATATTGTAGAAGGGTCTGAGAGGTACTTACAGCCAAGCAGTGTCCTTCAAAGGCCTAAAAGCCTGTTTCCCCTTTCCTTCCCACTTTAGCTAAAAGCTCCTTTGTTAAATATAGAAATTAGAAGCATTGGAATTGAGCTTCTCAAAAATAGAGTGCTTTACTGCATGGTCATGCTTGTTAGACCTGTACTCAGCACTTGAGCACCAGGCCTCAGCTCTGATTCAGCCAATTATGGGAGCGATGCCTCACACCAGTGACAGGAAAGTGATCTCTTTCTCTGCCTCAGTTTGCTCAGCTTGCAAACAGGGCATGATGTTGCTGACCTCTAAGCATGCAATGAGAGATAGATGAACCCATGTTTGCAAGGGCCTGCTGGAACCCAGCTGAAGAGGCACCCTAAAGAAATCCTGCTCTTGGTGTTTTCTCTCCTTCAAAGGAAAGAGGACTCCTCCCCCTGCATCTGGCCATTGTGGCCTCTGGCAATGACTTTCCTTCCTGTTACCCCATGTTAGTTTTGATCACATCCTTGTGACCATCAGACTCAATAGAAGTGTCTGCTGCTGCTGTGCCTCCTGTGCCCACAATAGTGCCAGGCACTTAGGAGGTGCTCAATAATGTCTGAGTAGGCCTTGCTGTCTCACTAAATGAGGACAGTATGCTGTGCACAACAAGGACCAGTGGTTTATATGGGCTCTTCCTTAATACCCTCTCTAGGAGAGGGGTTTCTCAATTCCAGATGGTTCCCTGATGTGTCCTGTAAATTAACAGGTCACTGTTAAATGTTGTCACCTCTTGCTTTAGCTGTGTTTTTCCTCCTAATCCACTGGTACCATAAGGGCAAATGCTGGTTCCTGGGATAACTCCGTATCCCCCAAAGCATCTTGCCCTATTGAGCATACCAGAGGGACCAGGCTCCTAGGGCTTTATGGGTTGATAAATTGTTCAATCATTTAAAGACCTAATTAGCATTGCCTCTCTCCTCCTGCATTCAGAAGCGAATTCTTATGAGTCTGGAGTACAGAGGAAACCTAATTTACTGAGCTGACTTGAAGACTCAGACCCAGAGGCAGTGGGAGCGGTTTCTTTCAATAAAACTATTTCTGACAAAGCTATAATGAGCGAACAGTTTAATACCAAACTCCAGAGTTATCAGGCCCCATCATCTTCCTCCTTACAGCAAAGTTGAGAAGATGGCTTTGACCGAGTTGTCATTCTGGCATAAGCTGGGCAATGCTTTTTATAAGGAAAATGCCGCCCCGACCCTCTTCTGCGTAAGCAATTTCCCCACAGCCGCAATTTCACCAATTGCTGGCTCTCATGTGCTCTCGCTCTCTCTCTCTCTCTCTCTCTCTCTCTCTCTCTCTCTCTCTCTCCTCCCCTTTCCCTTGCTTTCTCTCTCCCCCCACCCCTCTCCTCTCTTTCTCTCTCTCTCTCTCCCTGTCTCCTCTAAACCGTTTTCCTCACAAATACCATGCCCAGTCTCCTTCCCAAGTAGTCTGGGTTTTTGTTGCTATTACTTTTAATCTCTGATATTATGGTATAATTTGCCTGATGGTGATTCCCTTTACATTGCACAGTGAATCAGCACTGGTTTTCATTTCTATTGTTCAAGATCTTTGTCACCCATCTGGGTATCACTGTCTGTGAGTCAAGGCAGATCATTTATCTCCTTTCTAAGTTGGCAGAGAACTGCCTGTATATAATCCTCTCCTATTAGATAAGATTTTCTGAAATGGGTTCAGAGTATATTAGAGCCCCACTTATCTACTATTAGCAGGTTAGTCAAGATCTCACAAACCCTAATTTCCAAGATAACCAGAATTTATTTAAAGGACTGGTTTATACTTTCAATATCTACTTAAAAATTCCTTGTAGCCAGTCATAGTAGTGCATACCTTTACTCCTAGCCTGCCAGGAGGCTGAGGTAGGAGGCTCTCAAATTGAAGCTGAAGGTAGTCAACCCTGTCTAAAATTTAAAAAAAAAATTTTTTTAAAGGGCTGGAGATGTAACTCAATGCAAAGGCCCTGGATTCAATTAACATTACCACCATCAGGGAAAAAAAGGTATTTTGCATAGTTAAACAGGTAATGTTGGACATAAAACAAATGTTGGGAAACATTCACATAGGACAGAGGCTAGACCTAGGAAAAATAAACCCCATTCCAGCTCAGTCCCATGAAGTGTGTAAAACTAGCAGCTGACTAGGGCATCACACTGGGTGGGGCTTTGAGCCAAGGGCATCAGTGGCTGAAGATTCAGTGCTTCCAGAGATCTCAAGAAGCCAATCAGCACTCTGTTTCAGGAACTCTGCTCCCAAACTAAGTTTCTTAATGACACTTTGTTTTTAAGTTAAGTCTTTTTTTAAACTCTTTGTAGAAATCTTTTTTAATCCCTAATCCCAGGCCTACAGCTCCCGTCCTTGTTGCTCAATGTGTCTCCCATTAGCAAGCTCAGTATCCTCTTAGTGATCACTTCTGCCTGCTGAGAGGCAAAGTCAGGACCCATTCTGACCACAGCAATCACTTCCTGAGATGGCAGCATCCATATACACGGTCCAGGGACTTGGTAGACTGGCACTGCCACCAACCATGTGAGCATACCTGGGCCACAGTTCCCTAAACTCTCCAGCCTCAAAAGAAAGAAATGCTATTTGTTGCTATGTACACCTTCAACTAGCAAGAAGGATGGGCTATAGAAGCACTTGTTTTAGTGGGAAAATTATTCATGTTTCACAGTTGGCCCTCAATAATCCCCCTGACATGTGTAATTGAATTGTTTCCTGTCCTATCATAAAAGGCCACTTTGTGAACTCCCAAGGTTTCTCTATGTCTTTGGGGGGGGGTGATCACTGGCTCTTCTGCCCAGCTGACTGAAACTTATGGCTTCCCACTATACCCTGCAGTTCAGTTTACCACCCAGGCCTCAGAAAAGTCCTGTAGGTAGAAGATCATTTTCTTAAAAAGGAGAAAAGTCAAGACCAAGCAAAGGAAAAGATGAATGAGGCAAGGTCTGGGAAGGTCCCATGCCCTCATCTGGTCTCTGTATATGCCCAGCCATGGAGGCTTAAGTTAACTCTAGTGTCCAGGGCTTTTCATGGAACATGAAACACTGGGGAATGATTGAGCTTAATCCCTTGTCTCCAAAAGTCAAAAGCTGGTGCAAATACCTTTGGCTGAAACCCCAATCCTCTAATCACATGAGTGTCTTTCCAACATAAGTATTTAGGGACACACTAGTCACCTCAGAAACACACACCCAGATGTGGTCAGGAGACCCACCATAAATAAAAAAGACAATGTCACTCATCATGCTATTTCAAGGCATAGAATTCCATCTTAGACCAGCTAAATTCTTTCTCAGACCAGCAGTCTTATTTGAATATCCAAGGTAATATTTTTTAAAATACAGTGAATGCTTAAAATGTTTTAAGTTATTACAGTAAAAGACACATCACAGTGAATTCCCTCAGAATACTTCTTGCTTTGAACACATTAATTCCATCACTCTTGCTACTTTCTGAAGCAGTTCTATAAGTTCTCTTTCATGAGTGTCTTTAGTTGTGCTTTAGTTTTGCTGTTTTAGTGTCCTGGGTTGATTCATATGTTTTCCTTTCATTATCATTTTGACTTTGAAAAAGAGCTAGAAGTTACATATTGCCAGGTCCAGATAAGGAGGTGGATGAGAATGCACCCGAGCCTTCCTTTCCATTAGATGTTACTTGATTGTAGAACAGCGTTCACCATATATATATTTTTGGCGGTACCCGGATTGAACTCATGGCTGCGCGCTTGCAAGGCAGCCACTTATGCCGCTGAGCTAAATCCCCAGCCCCACCTTATTTTTTTATCATACCTCATTAAGACAGTCATGAAAAAGGATTCCGAGAACTACTTCAGAAAGTGGCAAAAACGATGGGAGACGTGTATCTGAAGCAAAGAGGAGAATGTTAAGGAAGTTTAATGGCATTATGTCTTTTATTGTAATGCACATTTAAAAAGTCAAACATTCACTATATATTTATCCAAGTTTATCCTTGGTTTGTTGTCAGATATAGCTGTTTCATCCTTCATTTAGTTTCAGATAAAACCAGTTCATACTGACAGAAAAAGAGGAAATGGGACTTGGAAGAGTTAGGATAGAGATTTTTATCCTCGTGTTTCCTCTATATTGGTTTTTATTGGAATTCTAATGCAGTTTAGTTATTGGAAAGCTCAAAGAGAAATAATAACCCCTTTCTGATTTAAAACTTAATTCACAGTTAAGGGAAAAACAAGATAACATTCCAGGTTCAGGTTTATGCTTTACTGTGCTAATAATGTACAATGTAGTTGCCATCTACATGAGAAATATTGGTTAGTTTATAAATGGTATGCATGGGGTAGAGAGAGCTGTGTTTCATAGGTAGCTGGAAACAGAACAGCTTAATAAATTTCAAAGTATAATGAGTACATTTTTTAAATTAAAAATCTCAAATTTAATTATGACTTTTTCTGACCTATATAGCTCAGCAATAACTAATGTCCGAGAAAGACCTAAACTAGTTAGTGAATAAAACAGTACCCAATAATCCAACACTGCCTAGGAGCATTTATAGAAGGGGAAGCCATCTAGAATGTACCACAGGGCAGGTGCTACTCTCAGACCTGTGAGATAAATGTTTAAATGCTGAACTTGTGCAGTTCATGACTTCAAGGCTGCAAGATCATGGCTGGGACACACTACACTGTAGGGTTTGCAGCTGTCACCAGTAAATCCCAGTAACTTTTTTTATTAGGAATTTCTCTTTAGAATTTATTTGCTTTAATTGCATTTCCATTTTATTGCCTTGCTAATGTGTTATTTACCGTTTCCATGGGATTTTCTTTAGTGTTTTTACCACATTTCCTTTTAAGTGCATCCCCCAAACCCTCATTATCTACAAAAAACAGAATGACAATATAACCTCATGCTGTCAATAAATGAGGCAACTCAGTTTGTTTAGGAACACATATGGGCATTTTTGCTAGTAACTCCAAATGGCTATTGGGAAAACTTTCATATCGAATCATATTTGCCAGAGCTTTTCCTGTGCATATATGCTTTGCTGAATTCCCATTACCAGCTTCTGGTTATTTAAAAAAAAAATTGTTGACCAGATTTTCTCTATTAAATAATATACCATGTAAAAATGTGCACACATGCTGCCCCATTTAAATTGCGGTGGCATTAGTTGTTTTGTACCACAGGGATTCAATCAAATTATGTTCAGAAAACACAGTGACACCAAGAGTGATTGGATTGGACTTTGTTCCTTTTTAGGGAGAGGAGGTATGAGTCGTTTTTGGGTTTTCGGTGTATTTCAAGTCTGCTATTCCCAGGCCTCACACTAGGCCTCTCTGGCATAAGTACCCAGCCAGCCATCTGTCTGAAGTGTGTTTCCTCTCCTCACTTCCTTCATTCCAGTGAACTGCCCCACCCACCTCAGAACCTCCTGGCCAGCCTGAGCCCCTCACACAGCCATGCCGTGGTGCTTTCCTGGGTCCGGCCCTTCGATGGGAACAGTCCTGTTCTTCACTACATTGTGGAGCTGTCTGAAAACAGTGAGTAATAGAACAGAAATATTGCTTTCAACGGTCATGAGATTTCCTCTTGAGCTTGTGATGTCTTAAGCTTCACTGCTTAGAACTGTCCAAACCTACAACCACTGGAGAAATATCACAATGCCTTATGGATTGCTCGCACTTAAGGAAAGGGGAAGGCAACATGTGCTGGGACAAGGACAGGAAGCATTGTTAGAGAGCTCCTGTAAGGATTTGGGTGTGAGAATAACAGAGTGCACTTGGGAAGGAGCAAGGGTGCCTCTTACAGGGCTGATTGAGAGTTCATATCAACAATGGTGCACATCTTTGGGATTTCTTTCTGGTATAGACATGGTGCCAAGTATTGATCAGACCTGTTCATCCTCACTGCCTAAACCTCTGATCAGTTCCTATTTTAGACAGCTCCTTCCTGAGTTACCCAGCAATCTGGCTTTTCTCCTGCCTGCTGGCCGCCCCTGCTTCTGCCCCTCTGCTGGTCCATGGCATGCTCTATAAGCTTGCAAGCTTCTCCTACTTTCCCAGCATGTCCTCTTGAGAAACCTCCTGTGTCCCTGTGACATGATGGCCACTTTTCCCTTGGTGACACATGTGCCTCTTTTTGATCCAGACCTCCAGCCATGAAGTCCTGTGATAGGACATTCTTACCCAGTGGTCACAAAGACATCATAAACTTAAGATTTAAAACTATTATCTAAAGCTTTTAACCCTGACTTTGTTCTCCTCACTCTACTGCAGCTGTTCCATCCTGTTACCAGAATTCTTCATTTCTGTACTATAACCAGAGCCAGGAGCCCTTTGCCCTCTGCCCCACCTAGCATCTTACTACAGAGATAGTCTTAGAGTCCTTCTTTTGTGTTCTACATCAAAATCTTCTCCCTTTGTTCTCCAGACCATTGTTTCTTATGGGGAAGGGGTATATATAATTATTTATGTATTTAAAATATCCTTCAAGAACATAAGTTTTACTGAGAGCATATTGGCTGTGTGGTCTGTGATTGTGACAGGTGCAGAGCCACTGGGCATCTGTCTCCCTGAGATCAAGAACTGGGTTCTACTCACCTTTGTGTACCTGGCCCCTAGCACTTAGTAGGTATTCAACGAATGAACTAACAAGAATCTCTCTGATATAGCCCCCATGACAAACTCTAAATTACAATGCTAGACCATTTTTCAATAGAAAATGTTCTACTTTCCCCAGTTTATATCAAATAAGGTATTATGCAAAATACCACTCAACCTATTTTCTCAACAGATCACATGACTCATTCTTTCAAGAAGTCAGACATTTTGCCTAAGTCAGAGACAGTTTTTATGTGTGATCATTCACCTCTCCACTTACTCATCTACCCACCTATTCATCCATTCACCCATCTGTCGCTCAATAAGGTGGATGGGTCACTTGATCTATGCCAGGCAGTCTGTGGAGTGCAGTACTGCAGAGATTAAATGATCAGCCTCAACTGTGAAAGGCAAAGAGGTAGATCCCTCAGGGTCTGTGCCACTATTTTTTGTACTTGTGGTACAGGAGATGGACCTCAGGGCCTTGCAAAAGCTATGAAAGTACTCCACCACTGAGCTGCACCCCCAGTCCAGGTGTCACTACTCTTTGGTGCTTGCCACATGTTGGACATCCTGTAAGTGTTCAGTTTGCTTCATTTCACTGAAAAAGGAGCAACGATATTATTGGTTCTCAGAAGCCTCTGAGTCTCCTGATGAGATCTGTCATGGAACTGGATGACATGCCAGCTGTTTTGCCTTTAGAGGCTTTAATTCAGGAGTCGTTACACAAAGAGTTGAGTATGGAAGAGATGATTGTCTCTTGGCTATCCTTGATGTCAATAGTATAAGTCTGTAGCCTTGGCTAAAATGGTACATGCTTCTGCCAATTGGTGCATTGTATGCCTTCCTGATATGGCAAATAGAAGGTCTGATCCATCATTGGAGCCAATGATCAGGTTTTTATTTTTATTAGGAATGAGTATCCTTAAGAAGCAACTGAACATGCTGGTTAATTATAGCCAGCAAGAATAGCTTAGCAGCAAGTATACTAAAATGAAAATTGCATTTAGCCTACACTCAGCTTTGCAAGTGGACAGTGCTAAATAACCACATCTAGCAGTCTGTCCGCCCAGTTACTTAGGGAGTCTCTGTGGCCAGCTTCTCCTTCTGGCAGAAGGAGATGTTATTCTCCTGGAAACCATGGATCCTGCAGGGACCAAAAGGACATAGGTTAATGACTGAGGCTGGTGCTTCATAACACCTCCCCTCACAACATTCCCAGCACCACAGAAAGAAGGGCCTCTTTGGAGCTTTATAGAACAGAATTCTGGAGCTTCAGTTGAGCATTTATCCATGCTCTTGACTAGAGTAGAAACCCTGTGTTCTATTGTTTGACCTTCTCTCTGTTGGTGTCCTGTGGTTTGCTCTCTGAAGTTTGATGGTTCTTTTGTCCCAGGTGCCTCTTAGTGAATTGAAGGCACAGGGAGGGACTGCTATAACCTAGAGCCCCATGCAAGGTACCTGATGGGTGGGCTAAGAAATGCAGAGAGTCAGGCCAAATGGCAGTGGGAATCCTGAGTGATACATTAAGATACTGCAGGGATTTTTCATGGTTTGATAGCCAGGACCCTAGAAAGAGTATGAAAACTCTGTTGAGTTATGATAGCATTTGTCCCACTCTCTAAAACATTTGTAGTTGTAGTTAAGAATGAACTTTCTTTAGTTTTATGATGACCACAAAGAAGGGAAAACTGTCAGGAAAAAATTGCTGAAGAAACTTTGAAATGAACCTGTAATGGCTTGTATCTAGAAGTCCCCCCCCCCAGCCTCATGCACTCATAGATGGGGATTAGGATGTGATACCAGGATTAAGGATGTAATGCTGGGATTTATGGGATGGATAAGGGAAGCCCACCCTGGATGTGGTTGGCATCACCCAAAAGTCTGGAAGCCTGAATGGGATAAAAAGGAGAGGCAGGCCCGCTGTTGCTGCTGTTGCTGTTGCTACTGCTGCAACTACTACTTACTGCTTAATTCTGCTTGATGCCTCCTGTTTGCCCTGTCATAAACTCTTTCTCTTCTATGATACCCCCTGCCTGAGAGCCAGCCAACAAGGGATTGAAAGCTCTACAAGCCATGAGCTAAAATAAACCTTTCCTACTTTAACCTGTGAATGTTGGGTATTGTTTTAAACAGTGAGAAAAGTAACAAGGACAAAATCCAGAACAGATTTTTGGTTATCTCATCTAGTATCCATCCAATTATCTGATTTCTTAAGCCTGCATTTTTCATTGTCTTTGGACCATCTACAACTCTGTAAATTATAGAAACCTTACTTAACAGTAATACAGATAATTCTTGTCCATAGGAATGCAAGTAGATGCAATAAATTTTACCCTGTAGAATATAAAAGTGTAATTGAATGTTGACCAGTGTGCATCTATTTGTAAATTCATTTTAGCATCATCAACAGATGTGTGTTTTTTGAATTCTCCTTTGCTACAATTGTAACATCTTACTGGTTCCCTCATAAATTACTAAGAAAACTGAAATTGTTGGTACCTGTTCATTTTGTATTTCTATAACAGTACTGATTTTCCTTTTCATAAATTTATCCTGAATGAATGCATTTGTATCATACTGTTAGGTCTGAGAAGGGGAGGATGGGGAAGGAAGGAAGGAGTGGAGTGGAAAGGGAAAGAGGACCGTGAAAGGAGTGGTGGAAAGGAGTATAAAATATAAGTAACCTTTATTTCGGGAATGCGGGGAGAGACCCCTCCCCGGCCCCGGGGCGCAGCATCTCCACCCCGGGGCCGGCGGTCTCTCTCTGGAACACACTCTCCCTTTCTTCTTCTTCTTCTTCTCTCGAACACGTGGAGTGAGGCCCATAAGTAGCCTCTGTCTGGGGTGGACCCCAAGGGGCATTAGGGATGCACAGGTATTTTATTGGCACACGTTTGGCGCCAGGGACAGGTTCTTAGGGATGGGGGTATAGGGTTACAGGTAAATCTATAGGGGCGGGGGAGGCAGGAGCCCCCTAACTTGGCTGAGGCTTTTCCTGGTTAAAGTGTCCGGTCTGGGCCAGCAACTCTTTCATATCCCATCTGATGATTATTAGGAAAAGGGGCGAAGATTTCTCTCTGTAACTACTTCCTGCTGGCTGAGGGCGCTGTATTGGGGTCTAGGGGAGTCGACGGGATGATTCCCAGGTAGACGCTGATGTTAGGTGTTTTAGCCAGGGCAACTTCACTGGTGAATGTATGTATGTTAGACTGGAAAAAACAAAGAGACAAGATGTTATGAGGAGACATGACACTGTCATATTTATGGACCCAAGTGAGGTAGAGGGAAAGGTGTCTTTGATTTAGACCTGTTATTCTATCAGGATGACATTGAGGTGGCAAGGCAGAATTCTGAAAAATTAAACATGGGATTAGGAGGAGTGAAGTTATGAGAGGTGTTTACTCCCCCATATGAAAGCATAAAAGTTAAAAGGTAGGTAGGTAAGGCTTATCTCTGATATATATGACGTTGGAGTCTGTAGGCAATCCTGTTAGAGAGTCCTGATACAGAAATGATCATTAATAGAATGTAAGAAATTAAGAATCAAACTGGACAACAAAACATGACAACCTGTGAGTCATAAGGCAGAGATGAGTATCAAAAGGATGGTTAGATCTAGGGCCTGAGTGATGTGAAACCAGAATGGCAGTTTAAAAGGGAATAAAAGCATTTTAAGATTTAGGACTGTGACCTGTATAAAGATAGGCCCTGTTTGTAACTGGCATAGGTTGACCTTTAATACTCCATGAGACATTGAGGATTTATTAGCCTAACAACTCAGTAAGAACTCTGTATATGTGGTCTCTTATGTCCACGAATATAGAGAGTGTCTTACCTTGAGAGTTTTAGTGGAACTTGGACTCTGAGACAGACACCCACAAAGGGGGCTGCTGGCCCTGAGTCTTCTCAGTCTTCAGCAGCGATTTTCTGTTGGTGAC